TTTTTGTCTTGCTCTTCTTCTTGATGATGTTGATATGCACCATCATCATCTGTTAAGGAGTAAATATTCAATATTGTAGTGCATCTTCAAAGAAGATGTGTATGAAGGAATGATTAAGTCATTCGATTAAATTTCTGCTCATGGGACTTTATCATAATGAGTAATAGAGCTTTTTAATCTCATATCTTTTTTGTTTTATTTCTCGGTTGAACGGATTTGTTTTTTTCTTTCAAATAATCAATATATTATCATCAATCAATTGCATAATTCATCAAGAGAGACTATCATTCATGTTCATCTTTTTTGCGTACTCAAAAAGTGAGTACACTATAGAATCGGTCAGTGTGGCCGTCCGGCCGGCCGTTTACGCGATAACTCTTCACAACCACATCCGATTGAGGTGAAATTTTATGCACAGAAGTATCTCATCAATATCTCGGCCGACTTCAAAGATGAGAATGATTCGTCAAGAAATGGCTGAGATATCTAAAAAATTGTCATTATTGATCAGACTATCCCTGAGGAGGGGTACAGGGATTTTTCGAAAGAAAAATTTTCTCAGAATTATTTAAAATATATATGAATCGGCTCAGTTTTCAACGGTGATTACGAATATGATATTAGTTTTGCACCAAATTGTATTGTTTTAATTAAAATTCGTCTAAACAATGTCTTAAAATGCTCAAAAACTGCGTTCCGAGACAAATGTGCCTAGATATGTCTCAGGTGACTAGTGATTTGGAGGTTTTCTAAGTCCGTGATTTTGTAGCTGCTAAAGTCAAAGGTTAAATAGTTCCTTCTAGTAAATTTTCTTACCTACTTTTGTATCTTATTGTCTTAGTTCATTCAGTAACAGAATCAACCTCCGATAACAATCCGAAATTGATCATTAGCATACTTTATATTATTTTAGATCCTCAATTCTTATTGTATTTAAATACAAACTTCACCTATCAAAAAGGTTTTGATTAAATAAAATCATTCTGCTTTATTGAAATAAAAAAGAAAAGTAATATGTTTTGAAATATTTCTTTGTTTATCCGTCAATATTTTAGATTCAAAAAGAATAAATCTAATCAATTAATGGACAAAGAAAATACAAGTTCAATAGTTAGTGTACCATTAAATCTTAGTGCTAATGAACCAGTAAATCGTGGTGCTAATGAACCAGTAATTCTTGATGATAATGAATCATTAATTGATAATAATGAACCACTTGTTCTTGCTAAAAACAAACCTGTTATTCGTGTTCATAATAGAACATTTGTTCGTAGTAATAATAAATCATTTACTCGTGATCATAGTAAAGGACTTGTTTCTGGTAATAATGAACCAGTTCTTTTTAGTAACAGAATTTCAAAATTTGAACATTAAAAAAAGAATATTTCTATCTTTAGAAAAAGGTATTCGAGGTACGGTCGTTACGGTCAATCGTCTTAAACACTGTGCGTTCATAAAAAGGTTTGTAATAGCTAGTTTGTTTTTAAACTTAATTCTATATATTATGTAGAAAAGACAAAGTCGAATCGCGTGATATTTTTGCTCGTGAAGCGTCAATCATCAATGAATTACATCAAAAGAAGTTTTTTATATCGGATAGTTGCAAATTTGATACGATCAAAAGTGAGTTTTTTAATTTAACCATCACTTAAATGATATTTTTCGCTGTTCTGTAGCTGCACGTGGTATTGAAGCGGTTAATATAAAAATCGAAGAAAGACACATAAATAGTATCGCTAAACTCCCCAAAATATCTAAAAAAAAAGAAACAAATGAACAAACACATATTTCTGCTGATCTTTTTCGGTCTACTATGTATGACTTAATGTATTTCTTTTAATTTAAATTAAACTATATCTCATTTTAGTGCAGATGTATTTCGTGAAGCATTAAATAAAAATAAATGAATATCATTGATAATCATCATTTGATTTATAACAACATTAACAATATTGTTATGACATCTATTAGAACTTCGTTTGTTGTCATGTTCTTTCGTTTTCGCTTTCTTCTTTCGTTATGTTTCTTTTGTTATGTTCGTTCTTTTTTTTGCTTCTCTACTTCCTTCTTCTGGTGTCCTCTTGCGTGCTCTTTAGGGGTGAGAAAGTCATTGTTATTTTTTTTTGTTATTATAACATAAAAAAATAACAATAACTTACTCACCCCTAGTGCTCTTCCTTATGTGTTGGTTTTCTTTTCTCGGTGTTACCTGTTTCTTTCCTCATTCATCATTCACTATATATATATATTTTTCTCTTTTCCCTGTTCGTCTTTCTCCACTTATGATATTTCGTACTGTAAGGATCTTTCTGATCACAGTTAGAGCGTAATAAAAAGAAAAGACATCTATTAGATCTGTATCGTTAAACAAAAAAAAAGAATTGTAATACAATACATTGTACTAAAGAAGAAATTGTTTAAATACAATCTACCTTGTATTAAATAAATAAAAGCTGTTAGCGCAATCCCTAGCGGGATTAAAAATGTGAAACACGATGTACCTGCTGTTGCCAATCTTATAAAAATTGTTCTTTTTTATGCATATTGGTGTACATTTCTTCATCGTGGCTTACTTTACATTATAGAGCTGAAACAAGATAATACCCCATATATTCTCCAATCATGTGTTAGTTATGCATTATCTCTGATACTTCCTTGAACTCTTCTTTCACAGTCTATGATGACCCCTAGAGCTTGTCTGTCACGGTCTGTGATGGTCTCTGGGGTTCTCTGTCACGGTCTGTGATGGTCTCTGAGGTTCTCTGTCACGGTCTGTGATGGTTTCTGGGGTTCTCTGTCACGGTCTGTGATGGTCTCTGGAATTCTCTGTCACGGTCTGTGGGAGGGGG